AGTTTCTAATGTTTTAAATTATTTTTTATTCTCTTTCAAATAAAAAAAGGAAAAACAAAAAAAAGGAAAAGAAAAGAAAAGAAGAGTAGAGTAAAGTAAAGTAAAGTGGGCTGAATCCATAACAAAAAGAAACAAAAGAAAACCCAGCTCCCAGTGAAGAGCCCTAGCCCACTGTAGAAGGTGGAGCTGTGCTGGCACATGCGGCTCACTGACAGTGAGTAAATGACAGCATACATCTAAGTTCATTCTGAATGCTAGAAGGCTTGAGATATCACAAAGGACTCAAAGACTAAGGGATTACAAACCTGTCCTTTCATTCTTTGGTGTTTCCACCTTCTAGCTGGTTTTCAACTTTTACTTGACTGTGTGTAATATCTGATCAGTCCACCTTTGAACTCAATCTCAGTCCTACGAGTTTACCTTCAAGATGCTTCCAACTAAGAAAACAGGATTATTCCCTGTGGATTTACTTACTCTCTTGGTATTTTGAGACAGTCTTGTTTTCTATAATTCAAGCTGGCCTTGAACTCATTATGGAGCCAAGGCTGGCCTTGAACTTGGGGCGATTTGCTTCAGCCTGCAGAGTGCTGGGATTGTAGGTGTGTAATCACACCTGACACAGCATTATGAAAAATATGGGCATTGACGCAAGCAGACAAACTGAGTAGTGTGATGTTCACAAAGCAGATTACTCTGTACAGTGGTGAGTGAAAAAATGGTGAGGGGGGAAATAAAAACAAGCATGCATATGTTTGTTCATTTTTCCAAAAAAAGTAGTTGATAAAATATGAAGCAATAAAAGTAGATAACTGCAGGGAGTCAAGAATGTGATGATGAGTCAGGTGTTCTGAGACAGCGATTGAGACTGGGCAAAAATTTATACTATTCATACTACAGTGGCTTGGTGGGTTTGATATTTTCCAAAATAAAAAAAATTGAGATAAAAATTTCCACATTTCCTTTAGGTTTCTTTGGGTGGCTGCTTATTGGTTTTAATTTTATCCTTGTATTATATCTTCTTTTAAAAAAAATCAATGTTTTGTCATTTTGAGGCAGGGTCTTGCTTTGTAGTTCTGGCTGGCCTTGTATTTGTGATCCTCCTGCCTTAAGCTCCTGAGCGCTGGGAGGACAGGTGTGTGCCCCCACACCTGACTCTACGCCTCTTATAGAAATAGAGAACACGAAAAATACCTGGCTATCCCTCCTTGGAGGGCTGGATGTCGATGGAAGGAAAAAGGCAGCTCTGGATATACAGAGCTTAAGTTACTCAAGGAACATCTCACATGCAGGTGCCCAACATGCAGCCAACCCCTGTCTCAGTTACTTTTCTCTTACTGATGGGACAAAATACCTGACACCCCAAAATCAGGGAAGGAAAAGTTCACTTAGCTCAGTCTGTGGAGGTTTTAGTCTGCACTGGGCTGGCTCCAAGGCAGAGTGACACATGGCAGAAGGCAGGAGTCATGGCGGCAGAACACAGTAAAAGCAGTAAGAGCAAAAAGGGAGGAGCAGTGCGGCACCAGCAGAGAACAAACCCCTCTCCCTTCCTTCCAGAGCCTTCTGGCTATCTGCGCCAGGCCAGCTGTAGCACTCACAGCATTGGATTACGAATCACAATTCCTAGAAGCCTGCCCCGTGACTACATGAGGCTTTGGGGGAGCATGTAGACACAAACCCTAACAACCACCATGGTAGTCTGGATGACTGTTTTATCGATACTTACTTTTCTTGCTCTCCTAATATTGGCAGAATGTACTTGTATGTTCAGTTGACAGTTGGATACTGATGCTGCTGAATCTGTGGTAGGCTGGCCTCAAACCTGAGGTGACCATGGAAGTTACTTGCTCAGAGGGGCTTGTGCCTGAGCTGTGGATATCACGTAAGAACAGGCGACAGTACCTCACTAACCCAGGGAGAAGAGAACCACAAAGCTAAGGCTGGGTGCAGGGTCCTGGGTTGGGGCCCCAGTGCTGGAGGAAAAAAGACATACACAGCAGAGTCCATGTTGTTAGTGTGTCAACTGCAGCTTGAATAGGTGTTGCCCAGTCAGAGCCATCGGCATGAGAATAGGTGGGTATTATTGTACCTCATTACGTTTTGGAGTACTTTGTTAAAGAAACCTGGTGAATGGTACTATTGGATATTTAGAGCATAAAAATAGCTTGAGATGGTACTTCCATCAGCTGGTTATAAGAGTAAATTTGGTAGAGCCAGTGTGGAGTCGCGCTCCTAAAATCCCAGCAATCGGGAGGCTGAAACAAAAGGATCACTGAGAGTCTGAGACCAGCCTGGACTACAGAGTTCAAGGCAAGCCTCAACTGCATAGTGAGACCCTGTCTCAAAAAGAATAAAAATAAATCAATAAATCAATCAATAAATTTGTTAGCCTGAAGAAGTATTCCCTTGACACTCTCACTTAACAGACTGCTTATGACATAACATTTGACATATACATGAAAGCACTTAATGAATAAGACTATAAAAATGTAAGTTAGGGGCCAAGGAGATGGCTCAGTGGAATGGGTGCTTGCCTGGCAAGCACAAGGGACTGAGTTCAAAACCCTGGTTCCAGCAAAAAAAAAAAAAAAAGTAAGTTAGCATCTCTTATCATAAGCCAACCTTGCGGGGAAGGAGAGAGCGACTAAGTCTTGAGCACTACTAAGTGCTAGGCCTTGTGCTAGCTGTCTGAGGAAGACATTACAAAAAACAACTATGTATCATGTATCAGCCATTATGTAGAACCTTTTTCAAAGATTACATTTATTTATTTAGTTTTTTTGAGATGGGGGTCTCACTATGTAGCCCATGCTGGCCTTGAGCTTGCAATAATCCTACTGCCTCAGCCTCCTAAGTGCTGGGATTATAGCTGAGTGCCAATACACTTGGTTTTCAAAGATGATAAGGTTTAATACCAAAGTGACCCTATAAAGTAAATTAGTTTTTAGGCTTCAACAGCAAGAGACCAATTCAGTAGGTATGGAGACAGAAAATAAAGGATCTATTTCTACCATTACAGCCTGAGGGGGAGTTCCACTGACCCATTTCAGACTGAAAATTATTAAAGCCAACAAAAAAAGAAAGAAAAAATTCAAAATCAAAATCCTCCACAAAACAAGAACAAACTTCAAGAATTCAAAGCCTTTGGACATGACCCAAGAGCAAAGAGCAAATGAAGAAACATCTGTTTGAGACAATCTGAAGCCAGGCACAATGGTGCATCCCCATAATCAGTTACTTGGAAGCAGGAGGCCATAGCTAGCAAAGAGAGAGAAAGAGAGATGGGGGGAGGGGGAGGGAATGAGAATGGACTCTGTCCCTAAAAAATTATAAGCTGAAGTGGCTGAAGCACTTGGAAGAAAGTGAGACTGTGGCATTCAAGTCAGGACTGCTATCTGCCTTGTCCCTGAGTTCTGTGAGGCCCAGAGTTCTACTCCAGACTGCTGCAGTGAAGAGTGTGGAGTTTGGGATCCCTTTCAGCTTTAACTGGAAGGTCTGCTTCCCAGGAAAGGCAGCGCTTTGGGGATTTTCTTTCAACCACAAGCTTTCTGCTGCTGGGGCCATATCTCTGAGAGCAAGGAGGAGGGGTAGGGGTTCCCCCGCCTATTTTTAATATATTTGGTACAGGGTCTCACTATACAGCTCAGACGCATAGTGATCTCCTGTTTCAGTCTCCACAGTGATGGGATTACTGGCATGTACCACTATGCCCAGACTTGGTGGCCTGGACTTGGTAGTTGGCTCAGCGAGCTCCGGGGGCTGGGCAGGCACAGCATGTGGTGCTGGGGATCGAACCTCAGTCCCCGCACTTGCCTAAGCAGGTGCTTAGTCTGCTGAGCTATCTTGCTGGCCTTGGGGTTCCCTTTGTTTAAACTCTACTTCTACTCAGAGAAAGGAGGCTCTACCTTAGACATAGCAAGTGAAAATACTGGAGGAAGTGCAAATCAAAACCACAAAGTGATAACACTTCACACTCAATGAAATGCCTAGGGCTGGGGAGATGGCTCAGTAGAATAAGCACTTGCCTGGCAAGCGCAAGGGCCTGAGTTCAATCCCCAGTTCTGAAAAAAAAACAAAAAATAAAAATAAAAAAATAAAAATAAAAAAATAAAAATCAAAGTGATGTCTAACCAAAACAGGGAAAAAATTAATTTTGGTAAAGAGGGATGTGGCAGCATGAAGTACCAGCTCCACCCCAGGTCACGCTGAGACAGCAACTGAGATGGACTGGGCGTAGTGGCGCACGTCTGTAATCCCAGCACTTGGGAGGCTGAAAACAGGAAGATCACTATGAGTCCAACCTGTGTAGTAAGACCCTGTAGACCCTGTGCTAAATATCCCCATCCCAAAAAAAGAGGGATATGGAGTCACTCAAGCTTCATGTGTTGCTGGTAGAAATGTAAAATGATGCAGGTACTTTGGAAGGCAGTTTGACAGTTCCTCAAAAGATTAAACAGTTCTCAAATGACTGAGCAATTCCACTCCAAGGTATACATCTAAAATGGTCCAATTATTCCATTTACATGAAATGTCCAAAGGAGGTACATCTACTACAGAATGTCAGGAGCTGGGGGGGAGGGGCGGAGGGATAGGCACTGCTTGCTAAGGAATAGGGAGTTTCATTTTGGCATATACATACATTTTATGTAGTTTGGAATTGTTATTGATACAAATCTCATGAATATAAAAAGTTTACTGAATGACGTACTTTAAAAGGGTGAATGTAATGGTAATGAACTATATCTGGGAAGAACGGAGGGCAGGTGGAAAGAAGGAGGAGAGGGAGGGAAGAGGGAGAGAAGGAGAGAGGGGGAGAAAGAGAGCGGGGGGAGGGAGAGAGAAAGCGAGACAGACAGACAGATAGGCACATAGACAGACAGAGACACACAAACACACAGATGGGAGAGCAAGGGCTGAGAGGCTTTTCATTTGTCTGCTGAAGCTAGGGAGGCCGAGTGTGCCTGGCCAGCCCCATGAAGTGTCACCCAAACCAAACACCTCACCTCAGTTCCGGTTTCTCTCCAGTCCCAAGTCCGACTCCCTCCTGGCCACACTTTGCAATCCTTATAGGTTCCAGTCGAACCTTGTACTTTCATTTGCCCCCATGCGAGAGAAACAATTTCGGGGGAAGACATAAGTACCAAACTGAAATATGAAAATAAAAACTGTGTTAAGTCAGTTGAGACAGCTCCACAACACAGACCGTAAGCAATTCCACTTCTCCAGGCCTTAGGAAGTTATCTTGCTTATATGTGAGGATGCTGCTGAGGTGCCCACTGAGCACAAGGCCCTGAGTTTATCTCTAGCACTGAAAAAAAAAAAAGGTAAAAGGAAGCACCTTTTTTGCTATGTAGCTGTCACTTACTGTCTGGAAGTGTAAAAAGCCACCAGTATTCTTGGAATCCTGGGTCACCTAAGTGCAGAATCTAGTTACTGCAATTACAATACTACTCCAGAGGTCTGAGAAGTTTTTTTTTTTTTTTTGGTGGTACAGGGAATCGAACTCAGGACCTTGCTCTTGCCTCGGGAGATAAAAGGTGGAAATTCATTTCAGCATGATACACTGAGGAGGCTCACATATCTCCAAAAAGAAACTATACAGCTGGGGAAAAAAATGTCAAAAAAACCACTTGTCACTAGAAATAAAATTAAAGGCAACCCATAAACTGACAAACACTTAATCAAGGAAACCACTGAATTTCAGATAACAGCTTTTTTTGTTTTGTTTTTTGTCTTTGCTGTTCTTACCCGGCTCTGAGTCCATTCCTTAGCCCAGTTTGCCGGCACCAAAGTTCATCTAGGTTGGGCATGAAAACGAACAAACTTTGTACTAGTGCCAGAGGCAGTTCACTTGATTAGGAGCATTATCAGTTCAGAATGCTCTCAATGGCAAGAAAAGATTGACAACAGAGGCAGGGACTTAAGAAACAGAGATGACCTAATGGTGGAGGACTTTATAAACTCCACACATCCCAAGTGATCAAAGACCTAATAGCCTAATTTTCCAGACACTCCAGGCTAACGGAGTCTGAGCACAGAAACGGGACAAACAAGGCTCAAAGAATACTGGTAGGATGTAAAAATCAGTGAAAACAAGAATTTGGAGTTCACGCTTCCACACTGACCTATCAGTATAGCATGAAAGTCTTAAGTAGCAGTGTTTGAATAAAATCTCGAATGACTTTTTTTTTTGCTGACTAGCAAGTTTTGCAGAAAAGAGATCCCTAGAATCCAGGATTAAAAAATAAAGAGGGGGATAAGGAGAGGGGGTAAAACATAAGCAGAAATTTCAGTGGTCATATAATATGTGGAAGACAGAAATGACAGCTTTCTTGTGGGGGGGTCACACTAGAGATCGAACCCAGGGCCAAATGCTTTGTGGGGTAGTGCTCTGCCCTTGAGCTACATCCCCACCCTTTATTATTTTGAGGCAAAGTCTCACTCTGTTAACTAGGCTGGCCTCAGATTTGTGATCCTCCTGTCTCAGAAGTGCCTCAGCTTCAATGTTTTTTTTTTGGTGGTACCGGGAATCGAACTCAGGACCTTGCTCTTGCCAGGCAGGCATTTATGCTGCTGAACTATCTCCCCAGCCCTCAAATTCTCTTCTTATAAAGAAGCACCTCAATTAAATTAAGGCCTCAACCTCAGCAACTTTCAACCTAATTATCTGCTGAAGGTGCAATCTCCAAATATATTAACTTTGGGAGGTCATGTGAAATTTAAGGAGACACAATCCATAGCAACTAGTGAGTCTTGATTGTTGTTGCTTTACTGTAACTTTTGAAACTAGGAAATGAGTTTTCAGTTTTGTAATCTAAAATTAACAAAAATACATTCTGGGTTCTTCACAATCCCATATAAACAGTGAGGTCAACTTGTCCATTTCCGCAAGGATGCCAGCTGCACCTCAGTGGGACCCCACCAAGTCTAATTCAGTTCAGAGCCCTGGCTGTGGTACTAAGTCTTCTGTGCTGGCAACGGAGCTCAGCAGCAGCGCTTGCCTGTGTGTGGTGCAAGGCCTGGGTCTGCTTCCCAGCACTGAAGGAAATTTAAGTCTTCTGATCTATAAATACGGGTTGTCTTTTTATCTGTCATAATTTCCTTTAAAATATTTTATTATTCTAGTTCTTTAAAAACTTTATTTTCTTAATAGCTAGCTCTGGGGGCCCATTCTGGCAGGCTAAGAAAGGAGGACCTTAAGTTCCAGCTCAGCCTGAACAGCTTAAGGAGACCTTCTCTTAAAAACAAAAAAACAAGAACTGGCTGGAAATGCAGCTCAGTGTGACTGCCTTGGGCTCAATCCTCATTACTGCAAAACCAGCCAACCAGATGAAACTAAAACACACACACACACATAATTTCTTGATGTTACTGTAAATGTAATTTCTCCCTACTTCTCCTTGGGCCAGTGTTTCACGATGCTATCCGGGCGGGACTCAATCAAACTGCTGGGATCTAGTGATCCTCTTACCTCAGCCTTCCTCCTGGATAGCTGAGACTACAGGCCCAAGTCACTGGGAGGATTATCTTGTTAGTTTCAATGATGGATTCTTCATTGCTAGTGCATAGAAATACATTTTATTTTTGACTTTTTATCTTGAATCCTGCAAACCTGCTGAATTTATTACTTATAACAAATTTTATTTAACACTTTTTTTGTACTCTTAGGATTTCCTACATATACAACCATGTCAGTTAAGACAAAGCTTGTTTTAATTATATTATTGGCTGTTAAGCAAACATTGCATACCTGGGATAAATCACACTTGATCGTGGGGTACTTGTAAGTTATTTTTTAAAAGTAAGTTATTCTCGGGGCTGGGGAGATAGCTCAGTGGTCTAAGCCCTGCCTGGCAAGCACAAGAATCATTCAATCCCTGGTACAGAATGCAGTGACAGACCTGGAACCCCAGGTGTACTGAGCTCGCCACCAAAACAAGGTGTGGTGGTGCATGCCTGAGGAGACTGAGAAGGATCACCACGAGTTTGAGCTGTGTAGCAAGGCCCCATACTAAGTGAATATTAAAAAAAAAATTTCTTAATATCTGTGATACGTTAACGCACGGTGGTGCACACCTATGATCTCAGCACTTAGGAGGCTGAGGTAGGAGGCCTGGAAGAGTTTGAGGCCAGACCAGAGTACACAGCAAGACCCAGGAGGAAGAAGACAGGGGGAAAAGGAGGTTATATATTTGTATCTTGTGTTCTATTTTTATTTTTTCATTTTTAGTATAGTTCCGATCTAGATATATCAATCAGGTTGATTTTAAAATTCATTAATGAGCCCTTTCAATTTGGTAACTATTACTATAGGTTGCAGTATTTTCAAAATATGTAATGAGGACAACGTGAACACTGAATACATGAAAATCGAAGTGGAGTGCTGGAATGGAGTGTACTGTATTTATACCGAAATTCAGTTTTGCTGGGACTTGTTGGAGGGAACCCCAGTTGCCAGTATGACATACATAGGAGGTTCAGGGCAAGGGCTATTCTCAAATTCACAATTTCTTTTTTTTTTTTTTTTTTGTACCGTAGATTGAACCCAGGATCTCTGTACTGAACCAACTACATCCTCAGCCCTTTTAAAATTTTTATTTTGATACAAGGAAAGTTTTGAACTTGTGGAAACCAGGTGCTTGGGACTACAAGCTATGCCACCATGCCTGGCTTATAAATTGGGATAAGAATTTTATATTGCTAGCCCCGCAAGGCAATAGATGGAAGGTAGACTTCTGGGATGCGTGTTATCTTCTTTTCAAGAACAGACTTTGCAAAGGCATGGCCTAAACCTGGCTTTGTAGTGATACTTATCCTTTTTTTTTTTTTTTCAAAGTTTTATTGATAAACAGCAATGAGACAGTTTCAAATCAAATTGGAAGTACAGTTTCAACAAATAATACACTGTTTATATTCTTCTTAGTGGTTAATTGCTGTACAAGATGCGGACTTGTGATCCTATTTACAAACACCATTAGAACAAATCATTCTATT